GAGAGAAAATTTCAATTTTCACTATGTTTTATTAGTAAATTTAGCTCCTGAGTCATTACTTTTGGTCACCACTGTATAATGATTTTTAAGAATAATATCTTAATATTTAGTAAAATTATATAAAAATATTATTGTTTAATTTATCTAGATGTGACAAATTAAATAGTAATATTTTATATAATTCTAATTATTAAATATCAAGATATTACATTATATTATAGTATTTTTCTATATTATAATATCTCTTTTTATTTTATAATTTATAATTTATATTTTATTTTTTTATTATTTTTATTTTTATTTATAATTTTAATAAGAATAATAATTTTTTAGAAAATAAAGAGATCATGAAAAATCTTATATTAAAATTCTATGAAAGAAAAATGATTTGTATTCACGTGATTAAAATACCTTATCTGAAAGTGAGAGATAAACATTTATAATAAAATAATATTGTATAATATATATCACTGTAGTAATTATAATTATTTAAATTTTATTTAAAATATTATATTTATAATTTTTATAGTTTCTATTTTTCTAGTGTCCACTCTTTCTATAACGAACTAATAATAAAAATTTAAAAATTTTAAGTTCGTTATAAAAAGGTTCGTTTATAAAGAGTTAACTGTTCTGCTAATTTTTGTTAACGTTAATATTTTTGTCAGCCTTCTAAGTAGTATGACGATCGGCATTGTTTACGGTGTATACGGAACCATAAATAACATTTCATGATGTTTACGTGATCGTCGTTTTGTATGTAACACATGAGCGTAATTATGACATCGATTGTATGGAAAAACAAGACTTACATTATTGTGACATTTCAAGGTACAGCATCTTTAATGTATCAAAAGAACCTTTTATAATTTAGATCTGCGTTTAATTGTCGGGTCAGCTAATCCGACAAAATTTCTATTAAAGACGTTCCAATAATTAGAGACTAATTGACGAACATAATATCATTGTAGACAATATACAATATTGCATTTTTTTATCAAAACTACGCAGAGAATAATAGTGTATGCTTTGTCGATGCGATAAGGTAGTAATAAGGAAGAATGGAAGATTTACAGAGATTTATAGGGCAACACATCCAATGAAAATTAGGAGACCGCGTAAATCGATATTCAAAAATTTATAAACTTACATAATAAAAAGCCACCGCGCTATTGCTGCTTCATGCAAATCTATTACAGCCAATTTCACTTTATTAATATGAGGAGATGCATGAATGATATGCAAGAATCAAAGTTTTGATACGAATAAACATCGTGAAAAAGAATTAACACTTTGCAGAATTTTCACGTGTCGAAGAAAAGTTTGTTAAAGAAAAAAATTGTCAATAATTATATTATCCGCATATAGTGTTACACTTTAATTAAAAGAGTAGATTTTACTCAATAATTATGTGTAATACTATCAAAAGGTTTCTTTGGAGTTCTAAAGGATTCCTGTGTTGATTTGTATCAACCTAAGGGTATGGATTTTCGTACATTTCACAAGAATTTGGTATTGTCAATTTTGACAATGGCAAATAAAGATGTTTAACTATTTCTAAAAGAATTTCTTGACACTGCCAAAATTACAAGGAAATTGGTTATTCTTATTCATAATAATACTTGAACAGTTATAATGTAAGCGATTAATTAAATGTTTGGATAAAAATCTCGAAATCATGAAATTAAGTAATTCGAAGCTACAACAATAATAATATATGTCCATGTATATGTGCTGAGCTAACCAGCACGTAATATGTAAAATACAGTTTGCGCTTATTGCAAAATTAATATCCATTCCAACACAAAGTTAGTTTTTTTGATTGCATAACCCGGCTAGTGCAACTTTTAATATTTGTTTGTCTTCCAACCGAGGATTATGTAAATTTATATTCAAAATTTTTTCAAAAAGATCATTTTAAGAACAACAAAGTGAAGATATTGATAATAATTCGTACATGCATTATCAAATTTTAATAATAACACATCATAATAATTCCAAATTTAAAGATTTTAATATAAATAAACTGGTTAAATTTTTTTTAAGAAATTTAAATTTTTACTAAAATATAAATTATCATATATGAATATTTTAATAGATTTGTTTCTATTTTATTTTTTGAAATTTGACAGAAACTTTTAGAAAATATGCTAATAATTAAAATCTTTTAAAATTAGCCGCAAATATACAAAATTTTACACGACTATATTATTACGTTATTATTTAAAGAAATTAGTAATTTATAAATTGTTCCATAAGATTAAAAGGTAAAAGTATAAATTTTGGTTAAAAGAAAAGAACTTTCTTAAACTAAACATAATCATAATTGCTGATGCAGTATTCTTTTGATTAAATCTTAAAACATGTCCTTAAATTTCTTGTTGATAAATGGCTAAATCTTAATGTTTATATCACGAGACGAAAAAGCATCATAAAAAAGCGAAAATCTTAATAAAGAAGAGAACAGATCTACAAAACTAAAAAACGAAAAAAAAAACACGAAAAGATGAACGAATGTTTAAATCTTAGAATAATATTGAATCTCCCGATTTTCCGCAGTAAATTCTTCTCCGAATTCTACTATATCTTCAAATATATGTGAACCATCCTTGCTATAATTAACATCGTCGATTTGGCTATTGTTTATGGTACATGTATAAGCAAAATCTTCCAGTGTCGTTGTATGTTGAGCTTCACAATCTTTGTTATAATTAATGAATTGATTGTTTTTTATGGTATATGACGAATCTTCTAAAACTTGTTCCCAATTGATTGGAGCGGGGTTAGGAGACGCAGGAGACGTATTGAAAAATATTTTTTGATCCTGCTGTGACTGTGAAAATTCTGTATAAGCTAATGCTTGTTCTTTTTTTAGATTCTTCATATTGTTGGTGATATTTTCACTACTTGCAAATTTTACAAGATTTTTCAAATCATCAAGAGAGCAATTTGACAATAATGTACTTGATATGCTTTGAGGCGTTTTGTCGAGTACAGGTTTTTCGGTGATGTGAAACTCAATCTTCAAAAACTTTTGCTATTCCATAAAAATAAAAAAAATAATTTATTGGGTTAATATCATTTAGTGTTTAAATTTTATTCAATAAAGTGATTAAAGAAATACATTTGTCGGATAATTAAAAGCTTCTGTTTTTTTCCTCAAAATTCCAACTGTATCCGAAATGTCACCTAATCGGTTAGTCATGAACTTTGTATATTTCTTCGCTTCTTTACATGTTGAACATTTCTTCGGATTAATCGAGGTAATAGCTTTGTCATCATTTTTATTATTGTCATATTTTGGAGGAAAAGTAGGACTTGGTTCAGGCGTTGGTAATACATGTACGCGCAAAGCTTTCGAATCGCTTTTAATCTTCCCACTACTACGAGTCTTTGTCGCGTATCTTCTTATTGTTTTTGTATTTGACATATTTAACGTTTAATTTTTTGTCTTATAATGAAGATGTTTCGAATTTTTTGGAAGAATAACTTTGTTTTATATCTATGATTAAGCCATCCCATTTCAAATTAGTGCATACTAGTATACTGTACACACATTATGCATAACGGACATACGACTCCGAATTTTTGCTTTTTTTGATATTCAATTGGGCTTCGACTTTTATAGTTCAATTTAATATTGAATAGAACCTAAGACTATGAAGGCATCAAATTCAAAATCTACCTTATTTTGTAGTGTTTTTTTAAAAACTTTAAAATAGCTTAAGTTTTTAAATTTGCCATGCTCTAGCTAATTAATTCCTTGCTTAACAGATTAAAGCGGTTTAATTACATGGGTTCGAAGTCGATCATAATCATAAAAAATATATGGATATGACTCACGAGAAAGAATTTTGCTTCAGAGACAATATATTGAAATTACCATTATTTCTGTGTGGCTCTCATCTGTTTATTTCTTGGGAGACAGATCTAGATAATTACGTCAGAAAAATATATTTTTAACCTCTTACCTATTTAATCAACCGCCATGTTTGCAAGACATACAATTTTGTGGTCACAGACGAAAAGGGGGAGGGTGTATCTGTTTATTTTAAACGTGCATAAATAGGCATTTTTATAATACTTAAGCAATAAAGTTCAAGAATTCGTGCTCTATTATATGATAACCTTTAAATTAAATGTATCTATTTTTAAATCATTGGTTGCTTTTCTATGGAATCGATGCAATAAATATTATTGCAAGTCTTCCCACGCATAAAGCTTGCCATGATTGCATGTGATTTCTCACGTTATACTTTAAGTTTCAAGCTTAAAGCTAAATATCGTTAGGTTCTTAAGAAACCTTTGTGAGATGCTTTCGGCATTTTGTTCAGCAAACTATAGACATTTGATCCCAAGTAAATGAAATTACTAAAATGGAAAATTTTCTTTGTTATTTATATGCTATTTTGATCGCTGCATGCGGTGAGACAATCTTTTTCCAAGCAAATTTTTTATCAATGAGATTTGGATTAATTTAATATATGCGCAGCAACGAAGGTTAATCGTTGATTGACCAAAATATTTGTTCAGGCTTGGGCGTACAAGTTACATCTATTTATGCATCTATCTAGATCTAATAAGTAAAAACCACTTTTGTGGCGAATAACAGATAATAACAGATGGGTTATGTAAGAATTGGCCATTACCGTGGAGTTTAATTGTGAAAGTTGCGTTATTTTCTATTTAATCTTTATGTTTTTTCTTTTTTTGGAGATTTAATGTACCATGTCATGTATTACTACTATACTTGTTATTTAATAATTAAAAGATGCCAATATCAGCTACAACATAAAACAATGACAATTGGCTATATGTCAAATAAATTACGTAAGTAAAAGTTAATTGTTATCGCAAATTGTTAGATCTGACTTAGATTGAGAGTGTTAAAAGGACAAAAAAAGGATACGTCTAATAATAATTAACAATAATGCATAATTGAAAGACTCCAAGTACCAAGTACATGTACATGTATTTTATCAAAAATTTTTTGTTATATTAATCCGACAATTATAGGATGTCCGTAATTGGAGATCGTGAGAAAAAATTATTTAAACCTATTTATGGAAAGATAAACCAACGTGCTTATCCGTTGTCATTATGCTATTCGCAGAGACAACATTATTTGTTAGCTTATTTTTGATAGTTTTTATTATTATCAACGAAAAAGTCTTGAAAGTTGTAATGTTATTTTTAACTCGATTATCAAATTTAAATTTTTCAAAACAATAGTAAAAAATCACTGGTATTTAATACTTGCTATAACACATAAAAGACGATCACAAAATGCACAAAAATTTATTGTACGGAACAATAGTTTAAACACGACAAATTTATTTATTGAATCGATAATTTGGTTAATTTTGGTAACCAAGTTAATTGCTTTCAAAAAAAATTTTGAATGAGTGCAATCTGCTGAGACATAATAAATCACTTGATAATGATTTATGCTGCAAGTCACCAGTATGCAATAATTATCAAAAAACTGGAAGAACCTTTGAGTAATTCTCATTCATTCTTGTAAATGATACAATATTCATTTTACTAAAAATATTCAAATTTCAATCATTCACTTTTTGATTATTCATATAAAGTCTCTTTTTGAAAATTTCATGAAAATTTTGTGGCGTAATATTCAATATATGATGTTCATAATCTTATCTCAATTTCAAATACTATATAATCATCCTTCAAAATAATACAAAAAAATAGAATATGTAGCAAAAGATTGTTTGTTTTACTAGTGAAAGAGAAGTAAAAGTACATTAGTTTTTAGAAATATTATATTGCATTCAAATTATATTGGTATATTGAAATATTTGAAAGGGATAAAATTCTTTTATAAGCATTTTAAAGATAATGTTTATAAATATTTATTATATAAAAAAGTCAGAATAATAAAAATATCTACTTTTAATAGTTGTAATCAAGATTCAATTGGCTGACTTAAAGAATTTACAAGAGTTTGGAATATTAATATATAACTAATAATAAAAAAACTATTAAACTGAATTATTTCAAGCATTTTGTATCAACATAATAAATAACTAATCAAATATAGTAATAATAATAATAATAGAATAACTATCTGAACTGAAAATAATAATACTAATTTTGAACTAATAATAGATATTATAACTATTATAATCTGATAATACTCTATTTATTATAATATTATAACTTAAAATTACTAAGATTTCAACTAGTTATAATTTAGTAATACTTATTTGTTATAATATTACAATAGTTAAGAAGTTATCTTTATTTTAAATATTATTTTTCATAAGTATTTTGATTTGAAATACTTTTAAAAATCTAGATAAAAGATAAAAAGAATCAAATAAGAGTATTGATTTATATACAAGTGCTTTACAAGAATTATATAAAAGTATAAAATCAATAATTTTTAGTATTTAGAAAATATCAAGATAAAAAGATTTATTAATAATCTCTTATTAGAATTATTTTATAATAATATAAATTTTAGTTTAATAATTATATTTAAAAAACTAATTATACTTAAATTATCTTTTTGTTTTATTTGATTTTATTATTATAATTTCTTTAATTTTCTAATTATGAGTTAATGCAAAAAGTTTTGTATCTCAATATAAAATTAATAATTACTTTTAATAAAAATTATTCAAATTTTAATTAATCTTTATAATTTTTTTATATTAAATAAAAAA